GCTATTCGGGGGGATGGCACTATATAAAGGACGCTCAAATACATATATTTCGGGACAAAGCACACTGCTAACACAAACACAACAAAGCCTGTATAACACAACTAAATAACTAGCACTATATAGAGGGAAGCACTACTAAAGTAGGCACTATTGAGCAACCCCCCCTGTAGCATATAATGGCTGTCGCGCGACAAGATTTACAAAAGCTGTATGGCTGGCCAGCCATACTGGAACTAGATTAATTTTTGTTAATTTTTTAGAGGTTGATTCTAGTATGGGTAGCCACCCATACAGCTTTTGTAGATCTTGTCGCGCGACAAACACATCACACGTGTGGACCCAAATGCAATGTATTACACGTGTGGATCGATATGCAATGTTTTACACGTGGCGACCAAAATGCAATGTATTACACGTGGTGACCAAAACGCAATGTTTTACACGTGCGAGAAGCTGGTGGATGATGATTGGCCAATTATGATACGGAATCGTATACAGTGCCTCCTACGATATAGTGCTATAGCGTGACATACCTCTAGCTATGGCACTATTGGGGGGATGGCACTATATAAAGGAGGCTCAAATACATATATTTGGGGACAAAGCACACTTGTAACACAAACACAACAAAGCCTGCATAACACAACATCCTTTGGTCAGGGTCTCCTTTAAGACAGCATGGATAGCTGTACTGCGTACTGAACCATGCCGGATGATACACGTGTGAGCTTGTGATAACCTGTGCCAGAGGGCGAGCCATAGCACTATATAGAGGGAAGCACTACTATAGTAGGCACAATTGAGCGACCCCCCCTGCAACCGGTCCGTTCTGCCCAGAGAAAACCCCCCCTACTTCGCCTGCATACACTGTAAGTCTGCAACGTGTGCGGATGTTCACACACACCCGAACACGTGCAAGGCCTAGCAAGAGTACCTTCCTAGTAAACCTTTTAGAAACGCAAAAATCGCAGCGAGCAACGACAAAGTGCTCAAGGCAACCCTGCTTTCTACAAGAGCGTTTTCCGGCTACCGCAGAGACAATTGAAACAGCTTCAACCGTGTTGTACTTCACTGTTCGAGTAGAATCTTCGTTCCATCCTTCAGCATGGAGCCAATGACTGACCGCGGCTTTCCAAAAATGCCAGAACCAGGCGGCCGAGCCCATACTTTGGAGTCCTCAGCCTCGATGTGCTGGACTCTTTTATTCCTGGCTTACTCTTCTTCGACATTTGTCAACGAATTTGGACATGGATGGCAAGCAGCTTGGACGGTGCTATTAGTTTTGGTTCCAGTGTGCCTCGCCGGTGCACCCAACATCATGGACGGTCGCCGCCGCGCAGTCCCTATATTGGCAATTTACGTAGCGTATATCCTCATCCCGTCACTGCTTCAGCTCACAAAGCCAGACGACCACTCATCGCTTCGCTCCGAAATGGCCGACCTGATTACCGTTCTTTGCATCTGGCTTCCACTGGAATTTAAGCTGTTGTCATCGGACATATCACCGACTGGAAAGGTTACAGCCTGGGGCTTGTTCACCGCAGCTTTGACAGTCGTGAACTGCTTCACAATTCTACGCCCTTTTCAAAGCTGGCCCACGCTCGTGACTTGGGCTACACTTTCAAGGTAACCCCAGTCGATGTGCTGATAGCGCTAGCTGTGGGTGCTGCCTCTGATCTCATCACCGTTCCACTTGCCGCCCTAAGCCGGTTTGCTGACGTCAAGACGCCACCTCGTTTAGACGCGGCCAAAGAAGCCGCCACTTTCCTAGGCATATTCATGAACGGCGTTACCGAGGAGCTTATATTTAGGGGTATGATTCAGAATATGTTGGAGCAACGCCTAGGCCACCGGTCCATATCTGCACTACTCATCGCGTCTGGTGCCTTCGGCATTGCACACTTAGGGAAATCAAAACTTGGATATGACCCGCCAAACGTTCGATACATGGCCTCCGCCTGTGTCACCGGTGTTGCGTGTGGGTTCGTATGGCGACAAACCGGAAAAGTCACAGCTTCCGCGCTGACGCAGGCCACGTCGAATTACATTATGTGGCGCGTCGCGTTAAGCAAAAAAGTTGGCCAGTAGACAGCGTTTTTTCGCAGCTAGAGTCCCTGTATAGCACTTGACAATGATTTCCACTCTTAAACTCACTGAGCACACTCTAATGCTAGTCTAGTTCGTCCCACAGGTCATCGTGCTTGTCAATATCGACCCATTCTCGGGTAGGGTTTTTCGTGTAGAGCGTGGCATTGAATTGTCCAGGTCGCCCATATGTCTCTCCATTAGCACCTTCGAAGCGAAACGGGTTACTTGACATGAGCACGCAGTTTGACTCCTCGCCGGGAAAAGCCGGAACAGAGATTCCCTTTTCCAAAAGTAGCTTTGAGGAAGATGTCGACCAGCTATAAAGTGGTAGCCCCCGGCAAACACATTTGATCCAAGCTTTGGTGCTTCTAAAGACACTAGCACTTCGGGTTTGATAAACGAATCTGCTGTCACATCAATTTTTCTTGGACCCGTCGAAAGATCCCAGCCAGATGGTACATCAAGGCTCACAATCGCAAGCCGAGTTGAGATTAGCATCTCGTAAACAGTCCAGTACTGTTGTCGAATGTCCCCCCCATCAAAGCCAGTTCCAAGCAAGGCATCTACAACGATGTCATAATAAAACTCTAGCGTACTGGGAATGAAGTCGTGCAAGTCGATTCCGGCTTCATCGCAGACAGATCGGAAATTAGCATGCTTAGATTGCTCTGCAGCATAGACCGCTGGTGCATAACCTCTCTTCTGCAGCTCTACAGCGACTTGCAATCCAATTAAGCCGTTTAAACCTGAGCCGCAAGCAATAAACACATCTGATATTTCTTCTGAACCATAGCATTGTTGTAATGCATCACAAAATCCACTTGCACAGGTTCTAGCCATAACCACAACGTCCCCACCTGAGTATGTAATAGCATCATTAATGGCTTGATTTGCCAATTCCGGGGAAATATGAGTCTGCCGGGGTTTGGAGTTATCTCGTTGCTTACTGCTTTTGTCCACTTCCATTTGCATCGATATTCTGCCTTGCGACCTTCTGTGTCCTGCGACTCTGAAGTGCTTGGCACGGGCTCTCTTGGAGTTGCACAGAAATGCGTGAATTCATGGGTCTCGCCAATGGGCTCGAGACTTCAAACGCTGTCTTCTGAGAAGCCATGATTACACACGGAGGGATTTCTTCTAATACGACCAGCCTGGCCTATTCCCAAAACGATTGATTGGAGGTGAGAATGATGCAAAGCAAGCAAAATGTATTCTGGAGTGCAGCCTTTCTAGGGTGACGCTTGAATGCTTCAAGACTCCAGTCTCACGAAGCCTCTATGACTGTTTTCTGACTGCTGTGCACGTCCTAAAGCAGGAAATCGAAAATTGTGGCGGCAAGACGTACTTGAAGCTGGAGCCGAAAAGCTGTACTTGGTGTCCTCAACTGCTTGTGCTGCAATCTGCACTGATGTGTGCCCTGGGACTTTGCTTGGTCAATTTGAGGTCGTGGGATTACTCAAAACACCGGTCAATCTCAATTTCAATGCCACACCAACCATCTTCCGTAATTTTTCAACGAGACGAAGCCCAGTTTTGTGAGATTGCTGTGTGTCTCAAGCAGTGTTACGAGGCATTCGGTTGCCAGGTGGCGGCTGGACACGCGTACCACGGGGCGGAGCGCATCCGTATACCGCCGAAGGACGGGCAAGCGAAAGGCGGGAAGGAGGGAGCGAGACAGCACGCGCGGGGAATTGGGGGTGCCAGCCACCGGGGAGACGAAGGGAAACCATAGGCCGCACGGGGCTCGGGCTGGGGCAGAAAGACCGCGCAGGTCGCCGGCCGAGGGCGCGAAGGGAAAATGGCACGAGGGGGTGGCTACCGGTGGGGCAAGGGGAAGCTGGATCGAAGGGGAAATTACGGGAGGGAGGGTTGGGGATAGCCGACTCATCCCGGGGAACGTGTACTTAAGAAGCCATCCCCGAAGATAGGAAGGGGGAGGCAGCAGACTTGTGAGGAGTAAAAGAATACGGGTGGATTCCCGTCATTACAGGTCGCTCGGTGCCCCGCCGCAGAATTGCCGCAACAGCACCCCTCAATATACTTTCCTCGCGTCTTTCGCGCTCACAATGTCAAGAATGACAAGCACCTCTAGCTATAGCGCTATTGGGGGGATGGCACTATATAAAGGAGGCTCAAATACATATATTTCGGGACAAAGCACACTGCTAACACAAACACAACAAAGCCTGTATAACACAACTAAATAACTAGCACTATATAGAGGGAAGCACTACTAAAGTAGGCACTATTGAGCAACCCCCCCTGTAGCATATAATGGCTGTCGCGCGACAAGATTTACAAAAGCTGTATGGCTGGCCAGCCATACTGGAACTAGATTAATTTTTGTTAATTTTTTAGAGGTTGATTCTAGTATGGGTAGCCACCCATACAGCTTTTGTAGATCTTGTCGCGCGACAAACACATCACACGTGTGGACACAAATGCAATGTATTACACGTGTGGATCGATATGCAATGTTTTACACGTGGCGACCAAAATGCAATGTATTACACGTGGTGACCAAAACGCAATGTTTTACACGTGCGAGAAGCTGGTGGATGATGATTGGCCGATTATGATACGGAATCGTATACAGTGCCTCCTACGATATAGTGCTATAGCGTGACATACCTCTAGCTATGGCACTATTGGGAGGTTGGCACTATAGAAAGGAGGCTCAAATACATATATTTGGGGACAATGCACACTGCTAACACAAACACAACAAAGCCTGTATAACACAACTAAATAAATTCATCCTTTGAATACTGAACCATGCCGGATGGTACACGTGAGCGTATGATAACCTGTGCCAGAGAGTGAGCCATAGCACTATATAGAGGGAAACACTACTAAAGTAGGCACTATTGAGCGACCCTGTAATATGTAATGGCTGTCGCGCGACAAGATTTACAAAAGCTGTATGGCTGGCCAGCCATACTGGAACTAGATTAATTTTTGTTAATTTTTTAGAGGTTGATTCTAGTATGGGTAGCCACCCATACAGCTTTTGTAGATCTTGTCGCGCGACAAACACATCACACGTGTGGACCTAAATGCAATGTATTACACGTGTGGATCGATATGCAATGTTTTACACGTGGCGTCAACCTTGAAATCAAAACTCTCACACTGACAGTGTGCATTTTGTGATGGCAGTGTGCATTTTGTGATGGCTTTGTGTGAGTTGTGTGGGGGCATCACGAAGATCACATATAAAAGGCTCTCCATCTCAAATGGCAAACAAACTGAACAACGTCACACAAAAACATATCTCCGTTTCCAGCCCTCTACGGCTAATTTCCAGAGACACTTCCCCTTCCCTTCGTGTTCGCAATTGCGTAGGTTGAACCGGAATGTACTGCACGAGAAGGTCAGTGGGACCCAAATCTACTGCGTACTCTGTATTGGGGTCAAAAGACGGACAAAAGACGGGCCCAAGGCACTTAGAAAGGGCTCGCGCCAAGTGCAGTGGTGTTCTACATGTAGGCAAGCTATCTGCTGCAGCTGCCGGACGGTCTGGCATTCTCGCGCTACACTGAAGCACCATGGGCCCTCTCCTGTCCATGAGAGGGAGTTTGACTCTGGACGACGCACTTTTCAACGAATAAGGCAGGCTTCACAAGCCCGAGAGTGAAGGCCGTAAAATGTCTGTAGAACAAGGCTATCAGCTATGCTTTTTAAATGGGTTTGTGATGGTTTGTTGATGTTGGAGATGATTGTGAGACAATGGTGTGAGAGTCACAAAACAATTTGTGTGTGAATCACAAAACAGTCAACAAAAGAGCACTTCAAGATGTTGACGTCACAAAAATAAAGTGATTCTAGTGGTGACAGTGATTCACAGAGGAAGGGCACTGATGAGGACGACATCTAAGAGTAGGTACTTGGTAATTCATACTTTCAATAGCGAGAACAGTATCATCATCACTCTGTAGTGACACTTCTATCTTCATTGCACAATTAAATCTAAAGCAACTATGATTAAAAGAACAGTAATTCAATGACACATGACTGACTTTCAAAGCAATCCGGACTGGATGATGTCGGTACCTTTGGAGCCCATACCCAGCTGTTCACTTGCACGTCTAAGTCTCATGGTATTTAGATGCTGCACAGAGCCGTGCATCTTTAAATGTGACCGTTACAAAAATATCGATTTCACAAAAAACACATATGTCTATATACTGACTACGTTCCAATTGGAACCATTAATGGTTACCCCCAACTCTTTAGTCTTCGGTATATATTTCAAACAAATTTCTCAAGTATCACTTTCCAAGGGAAATTAACAGAGGACGATACCATCCACCAGTTGATAATGGTATCAGATCTTTTCAATGGCCTCCAATTCGGGAGTGATATAGAGGTCTACTATACCTTGGAGAATGAAGAAGAAAGAAAGGCATGGTTCCCAGCAACAGTCATTAGTCTCAACTACCTTCATGATGATCGTCGAGAGGTGCTCAAAGGGACCATTCAATACAAGGCAGCGTTTGGATTCAGGGCATGTAAAAGCAAGGTTACTTTCAAGGAGGGAAACGGGTTTGTACAAGATGGACAAAAGTTTAGCTGGAGACTCAAAGATACATCGGTGCGATTGGATAACAGCGCAAGCTCAGACGTGGCAAGCGCATCGATGGATGCAGATGATATGGACTATGCTCCAGGTAGTGCCATGGTAGAAAAATGCAAGAAGGTTAACCACACGACGACTGTCTCACTTGACCAGAATACAATCAAAGATACTCGTGAGCTAAATGCTCTTTCCAGACGCCTTCAGTATCTTGAGGAAGTGGTGAAAGGACAGCAATCCTCGATTACGACTGCACTATGGACTCAGAATCCGCTCCTCATTTCTGATGCAGGCTCCAATATTCCTCTTAAGTTTATTTCGTTGCGTCTAGAGCATTGGTTACTCAAGACACCGACACGTCCTACCCCAGTTGAAATAACCCGTGGGACGAAGTGGTTTGTACAAGACTCATTTAAGGCGCGAGCAGACTGCACATTGCTCCAGTTTGATTCTATATCCGAAAGAGTCAAAGCTCAGCCACGAACAAAGGTTTCTATTCTTCCGGAAGATTATATGTGCCGGAAATCAGTTGTGAAGGAGACGAGTATATACTTTAGGAGCTTCCTAGACTTGTCAGAAGCACTCGGACCAGCATCACCGCAAGTTGTCAGAGACGTGATCATCGCAAAAAGGCTGGAAAAAGGTACCGACAATTATGTATCTGCCAGAGTGATAGGCTGTATGGCCGGTCCCAACACCAAATCTCTTTCTGACCCGTGCTATATGACAATTGGAGATTCTCTTGCTGTTATAAGGGATGACGAGGATGAACAACGGCACGTTGTATTTCGTCGGGATTGCACTTGGGATTCCATAGAGCAGACCTACTCCTATCCACTGGAAGACATAAGACTATCAGAGCTTAACTTCCAAGAACGCATTTCCAAGGTAATGAGTGCTGAAAAAGTGGTCAGCGGACCATCGGACCGGAAGGAGTCGTTCTACCTGCGATGGAATCTTCAATCCAATCCTTGTCAGTCTATATTTGCTGATGTAAATCGCAGCGACGTACTAGGAGTACTTCAAGTGCATGTCCCATTCATCTCTATCAAAGGGTCTGCCCATGTGAAGCAATTCATCACTGTTGCCAAAGTTCTGGGCCTCTTTAAGTAAACTCAATTCATTCATGCTACAGCAGTCTCCCGCTTTACTCATTTTTCACTTTGGTGAACTAAGAAGTTTCACTATCACATCAAATACGACCCCTTATAAATCGAAGTCGTGGACCATGACCACATCCTCATCGTCTTCGACTTGATCCGCCTGGATTTCATCCTCACCATCCACCACGCTCAGATCATCATTATCCTCGTGATGTGAACCTGAACCGACCGGGGGATCGTGCACGGAGTTGTACATATCCACGGACATCACTAGCTTCTCCTTCAAAATACTGGACAGTTGCTGTGGAAGCTCACCCCGCTTTTCTCCCTGTCCTTCAGTCAAAAGATCTGAGTAGAGCGATCTCAGTCGCGACCGCCATGATCCATTGTGGTGATCCTGGCCATCCACTTCATGCAATATCTGCTCGTTTCGAGAAAATGCACCCCTCGCCTCGATCACCTTTATCAGCATGATCTCCCGAAACAGGACAGCAGTCATGTAAATCACACGAAAGGATTCCTTGGATATTGAATAGAGGTCTTCATCACTGCCACACCTGGTAAAAGCCACCAAGAACTTCAAGGCGACGTGCATGGCATTGAGTCGGATAACAATTTTTCGAGTCTCCTTCCTTCCATCCTTGTCTTTCGTCTCAACGTCATACGTAGTGATAAATATGAAGGGATCGCTTTCAGAAATCAGCTTCTTCCATGTTATCAAATTCAGGGGGTTCACCTCAGCGACCGACTTCATAGCAGTACGACAGGTTCCGTCTGGGATATCTTGGAGGTTCATGTGCGGGCGGGGTGGATTCTCATACTGGAATGAGACTCCCACTTCACTTTGGAAAACATATGAGAAGTTTTGAAAGAAGGATTTCCGCCCGAGCTCCCTGGACTTGTTCAGAAACTGATTACCTATCTTGAAAACGCGGCGAACGATCTCAACCCTAATGTCTTCGTCCTTGATGAATCCAATTGGCTCATCTTCCCCCATCTTATCGCTTCGACGCCGAGCCACACGCCGGGCCTTCTTGATGGCCGTTGAAGCAAATTCTTCGTTGAAGAAAGACTCGACTGTGATCATTGTTATGTAGCCCGGCCTCAGCCAAAAAGGTTTCTCAGCGGTCTTCAGCTTCCGGCGGATGTTCGGATGTACCATTTCGAGTGACTTCGTCCCAATACTCGGTTTGTTCATTGCATTTGCAATCAAGCTCTTTCCCCAAGCCTTTCGAAGGACCAGATACTGACGAGCTTGCTTCGTACCCAGCAGCTCCTCGGTTTTCTCCTCGCTTGGGTCCCTTTTCCACAAAAGGACCTCGACAAGTAAAAGTCCGAACCCCAACACTTCGGAACTATTGACGTCCAATTGAAGCTTGGAAAATTGTGTGTCACGACTCACACCCTCTAAGGATTCACTCGCTTCCTTTCTCTGAGGAAGAACTCTCATAGTGCAATTTATCAACGCTCTTGTGAAGATAATGCACATGAATTTCCCTGCGAAGATGTCCTCCATAGGCCTAAGGAGGTCGTTTAAAGAGGCCTTCTCGGCTGCTTTTCCTGTCTTCGGCAGGGCGGAATTCAGAAGAACAATGTTGACGGCGTCCTGGCAGCGTGATAACGTCCGCTCTAAGGTTGAGACACGAGAAGATACAGCCTTGATTGCACCCAGAATTTCCTTTTTTTCAATGGCGAGCTGCTTCTCCAAACCAGCATGCAGTTCCCGCATGACTGGAAGTACTCCGTGGTTAGAGTCTTCCCCAAGTGCTCGAGCCAAATGGGGGCCCCGCGGCTGACTCGGCAAGGAACCTGCCATGCACTCACGATGCGTGGGAACGACGACGTCTTCCACATCTTGAGTTTCGGCGACCCCGTCCATCTCTGCTCCACTAGCCTGCACACTTTCGTCTACGTACTCCTCTGGCTCGCGTCCATGGAGCTCGAGCAACTGACGGTTCGCCCGTTTGCGTTCTGTGTGTTCATCTTCCTCGCCATGATCTCCATCCCCGAACAAAAGGGAAAAGTCTTCACCCGGAGACGAACCGATGGCGCGCTTGCGCTTGCCCGCACGCGGAGGTGCTGCATCAGATGGACCACTTCCCTGACTTCGAACGGGAAGCGAGCACGTGTGAGATGGCGGACTGCCTTGGGGTGTCCTGACTGTATTGCTTGAAACCCGCCGGGATTCCTGCCCAGCCGCTGCGGGAGTAGCTTCGGCCGCAACACGAGGAGATGACCGGCGTTCCGCGGGGACCTGAGCCCCAGGCGCTTGGCTGTTAGACTTCCGAGATGTCAGAGGTCCCTTCTGCTGAGACAAGCGGCCTCGCTGATTGCCTGAAGCAGCGGGTTTCATGGCTGCAGAACGCGAATGAGCACGCCCTGCCTTCTTCCCAGACCTTTTTCGCGGGGTCATTAAGCCTCAGTAGGAACACAGGATGCGCAAAGTCGGGAAGCAAAGGAAAAATGATGGCGAGAGGACTCAATCAGTTGAGAAAACGTGAAAAGGTCGATGAACGCCTCTGGTACTAGCGCGGGTTAGGCATGAGCTTATTCTGGTACGAGCACTTGAAGGTTAAGGACATCACGGGCAAGCGCTGGTTTAGTAGGCAGCAGAATAGCACATCACTTTGCTACATCGAGGTATCAAAAAAACATTTCCGTTACAACTATGGTACTCCAGCAAAAATTCCGGTCCAGTCACTGGCCGGAACCAGAAACGCCCCTCATCATCGTGCTGAATGGGAACGGCCAAAAAAGCTGGCGAAATATGGCTGCCCGCGAACCAATGACCCACGGGCCACCGTTCATTGCTGGCAAAAATCCAGCATTTTTTGGCCCCAAAAATAGCAACATCATTGCTTTTATTAAATTTATCATAAATCTGACCTTCCTGTGAAGTGAGGTACCCTCAAACGCAGACCCATCTCAGGAGCTTCTTGAGACTTTGTAATGTCTACCGCAGATTCGTTCCGCATTATGCGAAAATTGCGCACCCTCTAAACCAACTGCTGAAGAAAGGACAACCGGTCCAGTTGGAAGGATTCGACGAACCATGCGAAAAAGCTTTTCACAAGCTCAAAGACGCTATCTTGGCGCCACCGGTGTTGGCGCTGCCAAAGAAGGACCTACCATACTCGGTAGACACCGATGCAAGCGATTATCAAATCGGCGCTGCATTATTTCAAACGCATCCG